CTCTCTCTCTCTCTCTCTCTCTCTCTCTCTCTCTCTCTCTCTCTCTCTCTCTCTCTCTCTCTCTTCGTGTGTGTGTGGGGTGCACTTGTGTGCGCCTTTCTGCCTGCTAATTAACCTACCACATTGTCATCTCTCTCCTCGTCCTCCACTGTACTGTAATCCTCTCCTAGTCCGTGCTTCGTCTGCCCTCTGGACAGCCCTCCTTGCCTAGTTAATCGTGTTTGCTGTCAACACTGCGTTCCCAGCTCCATCACCGCACACCACCCTTCTCCGGTTCTGCTCATTTTCCCTGTCATTCACCTTATGTCATCGTCTCATGATCTTGCCCAGATCTTTCATCCTCCTCCTGCTACCTACCCTTGTCCTCCTACTCTGCTGCACCACGCTCTTCTACTGCCACCACATCATCTTTATCTCCTTCGTGCTGTCTCTCAACTCATCTATCACTGAATCCGCCTCCACCATGAGCACACCATTGCCATGCCCCACATCTCCTTCATGCCATCTCTCGCATCCTCCATCATTGAATCTTGCCCCACCAAATGCACATCATTGCCCCTCCTGCCTCCTTATTCTAGCCATCCTCTCAACTCTCTTCTCCTACCCTCGCATGACCTTATGCATTGGCAACCTCCTTCCTCCGTTCTCCTTCCTCCTTCCCCCTCCTTCCTTCCTCTTTCCTTCCTCCTTCCTCCTCCCCCTCCTCCTTCCATCCATGACGGTACTGCTCCCCTACCACCCATTCACCTCCTTGTCCCTATTCCCTAAGCCCACTGTGGCATGTTGGGGACCTCGCCGCACCAGGCCAAGGGTCCGAACCTTATGTTTGGGTGGCCAAGTCAGCAACTTGGGCTCTCAAGCACTCTTTTGGGTACAGACTCCGGAGCCTCTTTGGACTTTAAATTGTCTTCATTTTCATTTCAATTGCAGTGATTGCATTGTTTTATCCATTCCTGCATCACTACATTTTTCCCTTCTGTGAGCATTTTATTATTTTGTGGAGTTATTGATCTGTATGAGAAGCACAAGTTTATGGAACAAATATGATATGATGTGAGAGTCGTTCCCTCCCTTTGTAGCAACATTTGACTGTCAGCCAACCTAAGTTCGTATGGACTCGGAAAATCTGCCCGTCTTCTCGCTCAATTTTTCCTTTGAGGCTTTGAACTCCCTTCTTCAACTGAATAATGTGTTCTTGTTTCTTCTTAGCTATCAACTTGCTGCCTATGTTTTCCTTTGGCCTCCAGGGGCTTAAATCCCTGCTCATTTTTATTGCATCACCTCACTCTTTTAGTTGGCTGTAACTTTTTGCCCTTCTTTATCCTTTCCGTACGTGTGCCCTAGTCATGATTTAAAAAAAACAGATGTAAAGAAAAACACAAAGGGATGCGTAAAAAAGCAGAAGGAAATTCTTACGGATCAGCTCACCGACAACCTGAAAGCAGGATGGGAAGCAAGATGGAAATGCCTTCACGGATTAACGGACACCACAGCGGTGTAGAGTCTTTAGACAGCCTCAACAAAGGACTGAATTCTGACAGATATCAGGAAGATGATGGGAGCGAAGCAGGCCCAACTGTCATTCAGGACATCCGTTAAAATTGGTACCATACAGAGAATGACGATTAGCATGGCCCACATAAATCGAGGAATGGTCCAATTATGGAATAATGGGAGACAGAAGAAGTCGGGACATAAGAGTGAGAGATATCAAACAACCTGGACGCAACGAAGAGAAAGGCTCAGGGAAGAATGGGAGATGTCCAGGACATGGACAATAGACAAAGCAGTTCTAAATTTTTTTGAAATTTATCAGGACATTGTAAAGGATGGGCAATATGCATATAAGGAGACAAGATACCAGTTGTGAATCATTACTTTCGTGGTGAGAGGACAACAAATAGGAAAAAAAAGAAGAGCAAGGAAGCTATCTTTGGACATCTTCCACAATAAATAGAAAAAAAAAAAGAAAAGTTACTATTGAAAGTGAAGGAGGTGATGATCTTAACGACAAGCTAAATCCAAAATAAGGATGGATGAGGTGGACCAACACGACCAGAACCAAATGAAAGCGGATATCACGACATAAGAGGATAAAAAATGTAGAGAAACACCCAACTAGGTGCTTTCAAAATGAAAGATTTCTCCCCTCAATGAGAAGTTGAAAGGGAGGACAAAGCAAAAATACGCCAATAGGCAAGAAGAGGAAGGAAATAGGAAAAACACCATAGGTGAAAGCTGCAAAGAAGACAAAATATAAAGTCCAAGTGGAGGAAGCGGTAGAGATTGAGAAGCTTGTGGACCAACATCTTGAGATCCAAGAAAAGTTATTCAGTCTTAAAAAGATGTTGGCATCAACACAAAAGATCAGGGACAAACCTAAAATAAGCCTATCGATGAGGAGGTGACCAATTAGGGGCTACACCTCGCATGAAATTGGATTGAACGTACTTGACAGCCGGCTGCCTCTCATTGGAGATTAGCGACAGCGCATGTGATAGAATGGTTGACACAAGTGCAAAAATGAATATTATCTCTGAAAAGGAAGCTATTGATATGGGTCTGAAAATTAACTGGCCACACCAAGGTAACCTGATTGGAACTACTTGAAAAAGTTATTTAATAGGAATTGCTTCAAGTATGGTGGTGCAAATAGAAACGGTTCCGATGAGATCCTATGTCTTTGTTATGCCTTGGTTAGATTACCCTATCCTCAAAGGAAATCCTTACTTAGCAGGATGAAGTCCTCCATCTTGAACAAGCATGATGAGACAATTTACAACATCCTGTGTGGCCCAATATATAGCAACTATATGCACCGGTTCTCCATGGTGTAAGGAACAAGCCTAATTCTTGGTCGTTCACTCTTGAGGACGCAAGGAAGTCGATTGAAAAGGGGATAAGTGTAGACGCTCGGCTAACCTCGGCCGCATTGTGGACATCATCTTGGCACATAGTATAGTAGACGTGGTAGTAGTCAAGGACTTGATGATAGGGAGGGAGAAATCAAACTTGCACGTTGACCTTCGTCTCAATTGGGGGAAGGGGCCATCCCCCAGGCTCAGGTAGGAGGCCGACCTTTCTTAGGGTTAGGCTCAAGCTGGGATCCAAGAGGCGATACAAAGAAAAAAGGAGAGAAAAGTCGCTTGGTCCTTGTGCTGGTTAGTCTTGAAAAGAAGGATGATTATCAACGACAAAAATGAATACAACAAATGCGAAAGAATAGGGGTTTATTGCCCTTCTTTGCTACGTGCCTATACTACCCTGCTGCTTGCCTTGCTACCTCGCTGACTCGTCACCCTCTTACTGTTGCGCGCTCTTTTCTTCTTTTGCCATCATCTTTTCGTCATTCGTGCACTTGTGTGCGTGTGTATTTGCACACACGTGAATGGGGTTGGTATTGCACTCATGGGTGTGATTGTTTGTGTGTGCGTGCGTGTTTGCCTGTATGTGGACGAGTTGGTACAATGTTTTTGTTGTTTCTGCACATTCTTTCTTTCTTGCGTGGCCGTTTTCCCTTTCGTGCTTGGTTTCCGCTTTTTGTCTCTCCTCTCCTTTTTGTTCCTTTGGCTAACTCTTTTCATCTCTATACGAGTCCCACAATTGTACAACGGGCGTTGTGAGAAAATCATGTCTGTCATTATCAACGACACTCCTTGTTCCCATCAAAGAACATTTTGCCCTCATACCATGGCGCACAATGGACAATCAGTTAGAGAACAACTCAAGAATTACCATCAATACGCTACCAACTACGGACTCAACCAAAAGTTCGATTGTGTTCCGACGCACAACAAGCCTTCCCCTTGCCGTCGTTATGTGATAAGGCGTATAGTAACCTATGCAATCAAAATCCTTCACCCTCCCTTTCACTGTGCATATATGTGTACCCCAGTAAGTGATCGCAAGAGTTTGCTCATGAATGTAGAGATCATGCTTGCCACACTTCATTTGTTAAACTTCGTCTCTCTGTTTCACAATAGCTAGGAAAAACGAATGAGAGTGCAACATTATAGTTAACTTACTGTGCATGAAAACACATACCACTTAACATTCACCGAGACCATGAAAAATTCTGATGATATTATGTATTACTACTTACAATTTAGAGTGTCAATAATTATAATGTATATATATGCATTGTGTATGCTCATTGCTCACTCAATTGCATATTACTGGTCACATGCTTCATTTAATGATTCCTCCTTTTTTTTGGTTATTTGTGAAGGCACCAGTTGAAACGTCCAATATACTCCATTTACAAGGTTGAGGTCAACAATTATGACAAACAAAGTTATAAGCTTTATTTTTACCAAATGTTTCTTTCTATCAAACAAAAGTTCACATCTTCATATGAGGAAACATATAAAACTATTAACCATGGTTGTTAACCGGACGTTCAGATCGTGATCCAGACGGTCTGGATGTCCGGATCCAGTGTCCGGTTTGGGGGGTCCAGTTGGGCCCCATTTCTAAGATTTCAAAAAGAAAAAGAGGGGTCCCGACTCCCCAGGCGATTTTCCAGTGCCTGGTGGACCCCCGAAAATTGTTGGCGCAGTTTTTGGTGGACCGTTGGGCCAACCGGATCGGCCCTGAAGGGCCTGTACTTGCAATCTTGAGCGAGCTTCAGCAGGCCAAGGAGAACTGGTTGTGTGTGTGTGTGTGTGTGTGTGTGTGTGTGTGTGTGTGTGTGTCTGTGTGTGTGTGTGTGTGTGTGTGCAACAGTGTGTGTGTGTGTGTGTGTGTGTGTGTGCGTGTGTGTGTGTGTGTGTGTGTGTGCAACAATGTGTCTGTATGTGAGTGCGTTCAAGCTAAGTCGGATAACACAACTGCAACAGCATGTGTCTGTTTTTTTATTTTTTAATTTTATTTATTTATTATTATTTGGACATATGGACCTGTTCATTGATAACCGGACTGTCCGGGTTTGTATGTCCGGTTGTCTGGATCGACGTCCGGATTAATCCAGACACGAGTCCAGGCCCGGTGTCCGGTGCCTGGATGTCCGGGTCCGGGACAACCATGCTATCAATACAATTAACGTATTTTAGAACTAGGTGAAAAAAAATCTCTCTTAGGAGGTGAAATATTCGGTTAAAGTAACCTATGTTGTAAGTTTTCACGTGTGTGAGGATTGAGCCCTCAAGAAGGGGCCTTGCCATGATGTACATGTTCTGGGCTAGGCCCCAGCAAGCCTAGTGCCCGCCCTAAGTGAAGGCGGGCCAGCAAATCAACAAGAGCCCTCTGTGCAAACATTTCATGAAGTGGGGTCCATACAGTTGCAGCACGCCAGTTGGTTGGTGTGCATCGAGTATCGGAGCTCTGCAAATGCAGAAATCCCGGGGCCCCGAGTTGGTTAGGCCCTGGGCACATAAAAGTGAGGCCGACAAACATGCTGGATATAGAGGCCGAAAATGCCAAAGGGAAACCGGTCCACTATCTGAATCTGGCCGCAGGCCTTGACAAAAGAGGCGCAACTGCATCTCCTGGGCCCCCAACTGCATCGGGCCTGGGTACAGGCACTGGGGCCCAGGCTCAGGCTCAAGGGAGGCCGCCCACACGCAACACTGGCATATAGGCAAGCAGGGCGAGTGGGCAGGGATCTTGGCCATTGAGGGCAATGCCGGCACGCTGCGCTAGGCTGAGGTGCGAGACAGGCAGGCGCTAGGCGGTAGGGCGCTGCCTGTACACAGGGCGCTGGCGGCCATAGCGGGGCTGCCTGAGGGCGCAGGGGAGGTGAGGGCGAAGGTGGTTCTTCGGAGGTGAAGGGCGCTGTGTGGGATAACAAGGGAGAGTGAGGGTGAAGAGAGAGGACGTACCTGGTGGAGAGGAGGTCGGCA